CATGCGTTCTCCCTTACTTTATTTATTTGTTCGTTAATGTTCTTGTTTAGAGTATTAGGCAGGGTAAGGCAGGGTGGTGGCGTGTCTGGCAGGGTGGTGGAGTGCCAGGCAGGGTGGTGGAGTGCCAGGCAGAGTAGGAGTGTGTGACAGGGTAAGGTAGGGTTTAGTGTAGTGCCAGGCAGGGTGGTGGTGTGCTAGGTTGGGTCTGGCAGGGTAGTGGAGAGTTTGGCAGAGTAGTGGAGAGTTTGGCAGAGTAGTAGAGTGCCAGGCAGGGTGGAGGTGGGTGCTGCTGCTGGACGGGTGTGTATAAGCGTTAAGATAATCTCAAGAGTGTTGGAGCTTAAAATATAACGCTACTTAAAGCCCTCCCAGCCTCCCAGCGTCTCTCTCTCTCGATCCCCCCTAAGCATGAGGACTTATTTCCACGTGAGTACAATGTCATCGTACTCAAGGGAATAGATCATTGTATTCAAATAGCTAAGACATTGTATACTCTTGAGGATTAATTCATCGCATTCAATGAGTTATCGTACTTAAGGGATAGATATCGTACACAAGGGGTTAAAATATCGTACACAAGGGGTTAAAATATCGTACTCAAGGGGTTAAAATATCGTACTCAAGGGAAATATCGTACTCAAGGGGTTAAAATATCGTACTCAAGGGGTTAAAATATCGTACTCAAGGGTTAAAATATCGTACTAAGGTTAAATATCGTACACAAGGTTAAAATATCGTACAAGGTTAAAATATCACCAAGGGTTAAAATATCGTACTCAAGGGGTTAAAATATCGTACAAGGGTTAAAACGTACCAAGGTTAAAATATCGTACTAAGGTTAAAATATCGTACACAAGGGTTAAAATATCGTACTCAAGGGGTTAAAATATCGTACTCAAGGGGTTAAAATATCGTACTCAAGGGGTTAAAATATCGTACTCAAGGGGTTAAAATATCGTACTCAAAGAACTAATCCTCTGAAGAGATTAATACATCAATTCTTTCTGTAATAATACTCTAAGTGATTTTAAATTACTAATATTATTTAAATCAGAGAAATAACTATTTTTTTTAATAGAAGATCATGTGTTTGTTTACATTCGACAGAAGGAAACTCACAATAGTAAACACAGTAACGGAATCAAATTAAAACAATATTAAAACAAATATCTCAATGTAATACTTTGTGGAATGTTTATATGACGAGCCCCTGTAAACGCACTAGTGAAGGGGACTGTATATTGTGAAATTAAAACACGTTTGTATCCTAAAACCTTTATTTTCATCATCATTCACAAACTTAAAATACAGAAGGAGCTTAATAATAATAATTATAATAATAATAATAATAGTAATAATGATAATAGTAATAATGAAGGTAAATTTAACAGGAAGACAAACTCCCTCATCACCCTCTCTCCCTCATCACCCTCTCTACGTCATCACCCTCTCTCCCTCATCACCCTCTCTCCCTCATCACCCTCTCTCCCTCATCACCCTCTCCTCATCACCCTCTCTCCTCATCACCCTCTCTCCCTCATCACCCTCTCTCCCTCATCACCCTGCCTCCCTGTTTAGTAAGCATTCTACATTGATTAAGTATCTTATTACCACATTTTAAATCATTTGGAAATGTCTAACTCACTCCTCCACAAAAAAATTATCAATGAATTTCAAAATGAACACTACGACTCCTGTTCTTTCGGTAAGGTTGTCAAAATCCTTCGTCCATTCTGTCATATGATCTCACATAAAATCGTTAGGATCCTACTGTTACCTCTCTTTACATTCCAATCCTTTAAAAATATAGTAAATCCTCAAAAAAGCCAACGTTAGCCACCAAGCCTTCACTACACCAACACTCGTAGCACCGATGTTCAGAACAGTATCATAATATTTACTAAATACAGGACCACGACACTGCCTACCCTAAGCGCCAATGTTTGAGGTAATGTCACATGCTTAAGACAGATGGGGAGAGAGAGAGAGAGACAGACAGACAGACAGACAGAGACAGACAGACAGAGAAAACACAAAATGAAAAAAAATATGCAAAAATCGTAACTAATTTTCTATCTTATTTTTCATTTAAACTAAAAATAATTAATAAAACTTTTAATTGAGTTTCACGTAAAATTAAAAATCTCACCAATTTAAAAGAATAATAAAAAAAAAAATCCCTTATGATTATTAAAAAAACTTGTAAATTAGCTTCATACATCAATTAGCATTACAAATCTCAATGAGTTTTACAAATTACACACTAAACATAATACTAAGATAATCTACGGCTAAGAATATTATTATTATTCACCATTTCATAACTAATTAAGCCAAAGTTCTTCATAATAACATACATATTTTAACTATTTACAATTAACAAAATCTCAAATATACGACAAACTCAATAAAACTGTATTAAGTGTGTAAATGGACATTGAATTCCTACACGTCATATATATTAATAAAAATCCCCACTACATATGTGTGTTATATATATAAATAACAATGTTTCCTTCAAATATGTATTTTTATATATATAATTTTGATCCAATCTCTGTTTACTGACGTCAATATTTACAAACACTTCATAACAGTCTATTAAAACATGTAAATTTTTATGTAAACAACTTCATAACAGACGCTGAACTTCACACATTGTTCTATTTCTTTGACTAACAGCTGACACTCATCTCTGTAAACAAACAAACAAAGCTTGCAGTAAACACCAAACAAACACAGTATTAAATAACTAGAAGCGTATGAACTGTAATGCAAACACCAGTTAATACAATATATTACTTAAGAAATGCTTACACACACACACACACACACACACACACACACACACACATATCAACACACACACACACACACACACACACACACACATCAACACACACACATCAACACACACACACACACACACACACACACACACACACACACACACACACACACACACACACACACCACACACACACACACACACACACACACATCGCTAATTTAATCTAAAAGTTAATCTCCTCTGCTTGTGTTTCGGAATATCAAGCTAATTTGGCAAAGTCAGTATTTACCTAACTATTAAAATTACCGTAAATACTAAAGTAATTCTTAGAGATGACCTGAGTTAATGGGTCAAATCGTTCGTAAATGTTGACGTTATTGTGTTAATGACTCAAGTACGCTTCATTAACTACGAGGTTTAGGTCATTTACCCATCTCATAAGTTTCATTAACCTGAATAAAATCATATGGAGGTAATCCGAATCATATCCTGAAGTAAACGGGTTAAGTACGTGTTCTAGATTAGTAACCACATTAGTTATCAATTCACACACAAAAAAAGCTTTCTAAGTATATACATCAGTTAAGCTTATTTAGAGTAGTTAAGCTTATTTTTCTATCTCTCTTTCCTGTCAGATGAAAGTACTCAATCAGGTAGATTATTATTTATTAAATGTTTGAGCAATAACAAATAAACCCCAGGATGAGATCATATATACGACGAGGCTTCTCTTCCATTGGCATTCAAGACTGTCTTCACTCTTATCTCGAAGCTGTTAAGTGACCCGCCAGCTGAGTAATGTCCTGATCATCTTTTAACAACTAACACCTTCACTTCAACGTACTGTATCGGGTAGCCATAAAGATTCCCTCCAGTTATCTATACCAAGTGAGAACAAGACGTAGGAAGCCACTTTTAAACGATCCCGTATTTAGGTTCGTTTTCCATACTCGGGGTTCAGTGCAGTCTTAAACGATCCCGTATTTAGGTTCGTTTTACATACTCGGGGTTCAGGTGTCAGTCTTAAACGATCCCGTATTTAGGTTCGTTTTACATACTCGGGGTTCAGGTGTCAGTCTTAAACGATCCCGTATTTAGGTTCGTTTTACATACTCGGGGTTCAGGTGTCAGTCTTAAACGATCCCGTATTTAGGTTCGTTTTATACTCGGGGTTCAGGTGTCAGTCTTAAACGATCCCGTATATAGGTTCGTTTTACATACTGGGGTTCAGGTGTCAGTCTTAAACGATCCCGTATTTAGGTTCGTTTTACATACTCGGGGTTCAGGTGTCAGTTTTAAACGATCCCGTATATAGGTTCGTTTTCCATACTCGGGGTTCAGGTGTCAGTCTTAAACGATCCCGTATTTAGGTTCGTTTCACATACTCGGGGTTCAGGTGACAGTTTTAAACGATCCCGTATTTAGGTTCGTTTTCCATACTCGGGGTTCAGGTGTTATGACTCATGTTAAAGTGGATTCAAACTGGTATTGATCGAACGAACTGTGGAGAGAAAGTCGATAGTGTCATCTGCTTAGGTCAGTTATTTTATTTTTTAGACCGTAATTTGTAAACTTTTAAGTGTTATAATATCAAAAGAAACTAAACCAGTGGGGAGATTAGGTTAACAATTAGGGTGATTAATCCTCGGTTGAAATAAAAGATAGGGGGGGTGGATCTTCAGGTGTTCATCTCTAACTTTACAATGTTATTACCACACGTATTAGGTTTGATAAGTTACGACTTTTATAATACTGAACAATCCTCAAAACAAAATCCCACATATACTGACTTAACAAAAGAACTGTTTCTTTAGTCTTGTAAACAGATTGACAACTATAAATAACTTAGTAGCTTGGAATTATTCATATTTACATAATAAGTAACCCGGGCAGATGACACTCCAGTGCCTTCTCTCCACAGTTCGTTCGATCAATACCAGCTAGCTAGACAGAGAGTAGGTGACTAGGCTCAACCACTAGCAACATCAATAGCGAACCAGTTCCTAGTTATTATTATCCTTCTGTGAGTTTATTGCGTTACTAATTTTTTTTCTATTTTATTTGTATTTCTGGATCAGTTTTGTATTGCAGTCTGTTTCTATTTATTTATTTAATTTTTTCATAAATTTTGATTAGTGTTCAGGAGAAATAAATATTCTAATTGTTTGTTTGGAATATTAAAGTGGAATTTCATCACAAAAACAACGACTCAAGAAGTATATTATTTTAATTTATATTTTATTGATAACAAAGTAGGGGGCCGCATTATTGCATATTGAATTAAAATGAAAATGCAGAGAAAAACAGTAATTTAAATAGACTGAGATTAAAATTCAACAATACATTAGAGTTTGACAATCAATATCTAACATTTATAAAACACTGAAATAGACTAACACAAACCTCTCCTCCAGGGATATAATTTCCAATAACAAATCAACATCATTTAAAAAAAAGGCCCCAAATATTCACTTTCACCTCACACAATCATTTTCATCAATTCCCTCACAGTTCTTAATTATTAAACAAAGTCACATGATTAATTTCAAAACATAATTAATCCTTAATAATATCCAATAAGTTGTTTTTAATCTCAAATACATGAATATATAGCCACACACTTATAAGACTCCACGCTGGTAACACGACTAAGGATCTGGTTCTCATGTTGCCACAGCGTCGCCATCACGTGAGCCTGGTCGATCGGTTGAAATAAATCACCACTGAGTACCGCGCAGGTAAAGGAAGGTATATTGGTTAACCCTCGACTAAGAAGGTAAATCTGAGGTATACACTTAAAATAAAAGCGAAGCATCAATTCCTAATGTATAAACCTTAGATAAAGAGTAAAGACTGTGTCACTGGTCTCTTTAGGGTACAACACGCACTGTATGCTAAGCTATCGGTTATGCTAGGAGGCAGTGTGGCTGGTAGTGCAGTCGACCGCCTTCACACCCCCCAACATGTAAAGTTAGGTATCCATTTACAGCTGGGTAGACTGGGAGTGCCCCATGATCGAACCAACGACCCTTAGGATAGGAGACGAGTATTGTATCCACTCGTCCACCGCACTCCTTAGAATGAAGAGTAAGAGGAAAAAAAATTGCTATTTACATTATCATACACTTGGTAGCCTCTTCTTCTTTATAACACTACAACAAACTCATTAATGATGTTTCAGTTAAGGATGAAACTTTGACAACGTCTGGCCATTGCTTCAAGACACGAGTAATGTGATAAGTTTCGGCGTATTGGAACAGCTGAAGTAACAGGGTAGATTAAAAAGTCTACTAAAACGACATAAACAAAATAGAATCAGTCACCCATTTTTTGTTGTTGTTCATGACAAATATTGAACAAAACATTGATAAAGATCTAGAGAAAGAAAACGGAGAATAGGACTAAAGGGAGGGGGGGGACTCAAGGAAACAGGAATCAAGACCAAATATATGACCCAAAACTTAACCGATACACAACAATAGGTCGTTAAGTGTAAATAATGGAGCACTAGTTTCTAGGACACAAGAGACGCCATTATTTTATGAGCACAGCACGAGACAGTGAGGCCCCAAGGGAACAGTGGAAATTACACAGCAGTTAACAGCATCATAACCGATGACTAGTTCATGAGCTTGGAACAGCACTATACCCAGGGGAGCATTGAGGTACAGCACTATAACAGCACCATACCCAAGTGAGCACCTAGACACATCACACAGGACAGCACACACACACACTACCTTGCTTCACCGTCCAGCACATCTCCTCTCAACCTTCCACCAAATACTGTACTAGGAGGCTATCTTGGCTATCTTTGGCACCCATGAACCTACTTCCTATCTTTGGTGTGCCTAACAACCTTATTCAACCAAATTTTATTACTATTAAAAAAAAATAGATAAATTAATGCTAGATAAATTAACCCTAAAGGCATAATAATAATAATAACAAGCACTCATAACACCAGTAGCCTTAGTCGACCTGGTGAATCACACACACACACACACACACACACACACACACACACACACACACACACACACACACACACACACACACACTTGTATATTAAATCAAGTAAAAAAAATTAAAACATGAAAGCAAGACCCTCAGGTGCTTCTTTAACTGGGAGTAATATATATACACACACACACGTGACTCCTTATCCCTACACTATAATACACTGGCCTCTTGATCCACCTCAGTCTCTAGTGGTAGGTGTTGAAACGGGTTATAATGTTCGTATTCTCAAAGTGAATTTCTTCTCACAGCGTTAAGATGCTATCAGTTATATTTTCTTCAGGATAGCAAAGTGGTGAGAGTTGCAGTGAGCACACCAGAGTGACCCTTCCATCATGGTTCAGGAAGGAGTTTCTCTCTTGGGGCGACGAGGAAGGGGGAGTGGGGGGAGGATCAGTCCCTCAGTTGGTCTTCCAGGAGAGGTGTTCGAGGGGGTGCTGATGGGTGGGTGTCAGCGGGGAACTCGAGCGTCCTTGGAGACCTGTGGCCCCAAGGCTGGCAGAGTTGACTATATGGGGCAGCATGAGGTTGGCGGAGGCGTAGTGGGTGAGGGGTGAGGTGCTGGAGGTCAAGTGGGAGGTGGGGGGTGAGGAGGCCACGGCTGACAGATGGCTGGTGGAGGCCGTCACTCCCGCCAGAACCCCACGTGAGGTGAGACTCAATCCACTGGAGGTGTGTTGGGTGGTGGAGTGACTGTGCTGAGAGCCAGAGTGGGCGTGCTGGGAGGGTGAGTGTGCTATCTGGGAGTGGGCTTGTTGGGACCCAGAGTGGGAGTGCTGGGACCCAGAGTGGGCGTGCTGGGAGCCTGAGTGGGCGTGCTGGGGCCCTGAATGGGCGTGCTGGGGCCTGAATGGGCATGCAGGGAGCCTGAATGGGCATGCTGGGAGCCTGAATGGGCATGCTGGGAGCCTGAATGGGCGTGCTGGGAGCCTGAATGGGCATGCTGGGAGCCTGAATGGTCGTGCTGGGAGCCTGAGTGGGCGTGAGGGAGGGAGGTGAGTTCTCCTAGGCTGCTGCTACCACCGCCAGGGGAGGAAGGCTCGTCCTTGACCCCATACTGGAGTGTGGAGGTCGCCACTGCCTGGTTGGCCTTGAGGCTCTGTAGGGAATAGGGAGTCAGGAGGGGCGGCAAGGACGACCCAAGTAGTGAGGCGGACGATACTGCCGGAGACGACATCTGTTGTCCATATGACGACGACGATGATGTGGATGACCCGTACATGGACAAGTATGGCCCCATCGTCGGCTCCGTCTTCACTGTAAACACGAGTGATAATTGTAAAAGGTTTCTCAGCAGAGGAGAGACATTCCACACCGAATAATGCCAAATGACCCTTGACCCATTAAACTATAGAGAGGTTGTATTAGCCTCTGTCAATTATACAGACACTAACAATTATATAAATGTGGGCTAAATACATACAGTAATTATATAATCCACATCTCCTGAATTATTGAGATTATTGGGTAATGAAGCACAGCAAATGATCTCCTGGTGGGCCTTCTGCAGGGTATCATTAAATGAGTTCTGTCAGTTCTGTCAATAACCTCCTCCAGTATATTTGACAGGTAAGAGGTAAACAAAGAGCTTGAGTTAACTTTATTTCTCTAACATTTCGAGTTACACAGAACACATCTTCAGAAATGTTAAGAGAAATAAAGAAAGTTATCTCAGCTCTGTGTCTTTCTCTCCTAGCCATCAAATCTATCCACTCGGTATCATGGATCGATCAAACATCCTAAAGTCTCTGGTTAGGTTAGGGTTAAAGGTCAGGTTCAGGTCAAGGTTAGGTTAATATGTGTGAATCTCAATCGTAAGTTAAAATCTAGAGACAAAATCAAACCAAATTAAAACAAACATTAAGAAATTAACTTACCTATAGGCGTGGAGACAATCTGGTACTTGGAGGTCGAGGCGGAAGTGGTGGTCAGTGACGAGGAGGAGGTCGTAGGGGCGGAGGTGGATGTAGTCAATGATGTAGACGCAGACGAAGACGCTAAAGAGATAACATAGGACGAGGAGCCAGATGACCCAAGGCTCGAGGCTGTGGTAGAGGGAGTGACGGAGGACGAGGTGGTGGAGGTTGATGACGAGGAGGAGGAGGAGGTTTTGGTATCACTTGACTTCTTGGGTTTACGTTTTCTAGTCTGTGAGGGAGATGAAGGTGTTTTAATTCATGTCAATATGTAATTAATTTAGTTATTTTTTACCTGTTAGTTTATACCATCAGAAAAATCGTCCATGGTAGTAATAACAATAATGACATTCTTATTTACGCTAAATAACAAGAGATAGTTGGAATCCTCTCTAACACTATCCAATTCTTCTCATTAAAAACAAAAGATAGTTTAAATCCTCTTAACACTATCCAATCCTTTTCCCGCCCAAACACTCCCTCTATATTACTTCTCATCGTCATAAACTCTCAAAATTCTCATCCTGATGACAAGACTTACCTGAATACTCTCCTTCTTCATGGTCAGGGGTCTGTTGACACTGTGCAGTTTGTAGTAGAGGCCACAGGCGTTACACACAGGGTCTCCTTGGCTGTTACGACGCCATAATGAGGTCACTGACGTATGGCAATTGGTGCACATCTGACCAATCCGACGGTTTCCCGACTGATGACGTCACGGAAATAATACATTGATATTAAATTTTTTGCTTAGATATTTTTTTTTAATATTTGTTAGTTGATTACTTAATAGTGTTAATATGGGATGGATTTTTTTGTGGGAGGGGTGGAGGGTGACTGTTGATATTAAGGTACAGGTACTTCAAAGTCCTCTCGCCTCTCCTGAACCACGAACCCCGAGAAGATTCAGACTCGTGAACCCGAACCAGTATGATGCATTATTGTGTCCATAAATGCTCCGGATTCACGAGTCTGAAACTCTTGGGGGTTCGTGGTTCAGGAGGAGAGGCGAGAAGACTTTAGTGGGTAACTGCATAAATAAGTGAAAGTATTTTTACTTACTTAAGGAAAGAATCTATTCACTAATCACAACTTAATAACAACATTAAAGAAATAGAAGTTAAAAATAATTCCTTAAACCAAAAAATTATTAACTGTTGATATTGATATTAAGCAAAATGGATGACATGTTTATTAATATATAAATAAAGTGAGAGTTACATAATTTTTTTTAATTATTGATAACCTTTTGACGATAATATTGTAGTGAAGATTAATTGATTTGTTAAGACCAAGATATCGTTGTTTAGTGACAGCAAGAGGCCAATGTTTGTTTTGCATATGATTCTAGCAAATAACTTAATTTGTCTTAACTTCTTAAAGCTAAACTAAAATAAAATATCGTAACTTTCACATTATTGATTTTTTTTATCCAAGTCTAAAAAAAAGTTATATTAAAAAACCTCAATTTTTTTTCATCAATATTTTGTTTTTACTGATAAAAATATTATTGTTAGTGGCATTAAGCTCACACAGGTACTTTAAGCAAGCGAGGAATAAGCAACAGGTTAATCCCCCCCCGTCTAATTGGAGTTTGATTCTCAGGTAGATTTATTGTGGTCATTTACATACCAGGTGTTTCTCCAGCCACACTTAATGATAAACAAAGATTAAATAATTTCCTGTTTCCATGTTGACAGGTTTGTGTGGTATGTCTCTTAATACAGTAAACATCAGCGGATCATTTTTCACACTCAGGAATTAAAAAATTAATAATCGTATTGGAAAAGCAAAATCGAGAGTTAGATCATAAATTGAAAGCGAGAGAGAGAAAGAAGACAGAGGAAGGGGTCATGCAGCAGATGGCCATGCAAAAGCAAGCAGAGGGGGACCTACCAGGCGCCTGCTCTTCATGGAATCATAAGTCCGCGTCTGAAGTCCATAGAAGTTGTAGTAGTCGTCAACTGCAACAAGCAAACGGGAGGAGTTAGTCGCAGTGTGAGTGAGAGAAGAGAAAGCGAGGCGAGAGTCGGGTCCACTGAGAATGACTGATCAAGCAGACAGGAGAGTGAGAGTGAGAGAGAGGGAGAGAAGATAGAAAGACTCATCTCCTGTACTTCTTTCCTTCCATTCATCCCCCGTGGTCAAGACTCGTAGTAATGGCAGACATAAATATTGGTATCTCCTCGACGTCCTGTCTGGGAATGAGGAGCTGACGGCAGGGTGAGATTTTTGGGGGGCCGTAAAGCCCTGCAGATTAAATTCAATATGTATGCTGACATGCGGGCGGTGGGTGCGCTAGTGGGGGCGGCTCAGCTGGGGGACCTGCCTGATGGGGTAGACTTACGAGGCGACGAGCGGGCGCCTTTCCCAGCGGGCGATTTATGCCGTTGGTGCGGGTATAGAGGGCGCAGGCGTTGCAGAGGTAGTGGCCAGTTGAGGAGTCCCGCCGCCACAGGGGCGTATGTGAGACGCCGCAGTTAACACACTCACGGCACTCCCAGGTGTCCCGCAGGCTGCTATCTACTGCTGCACCACACACACACACACACACACACGCAAAGTTAACTCAGATACAATAATGTCCGCTAGGTTCTCAGGTGTAAGTGTATACCTGTCTGTAGTTATTAGACACAACCTTAACTAACTTAGACTAGTTATGTTTAAAAATTAGTCCACAGGTTGCTAGGATATCACGAAACCTGTGGTAAAATATCCTTAGAGGATTTTCGTTTCCGTGTGGCATTGTGGTTGTATGTACCGTGTACCTGCTGTAGAGTGTGAGCGTAGTGTGTATACCAAGAGGCAGGAACAACACTTATCTGGTAACTTACATCTGGCCACATTATCTTACAACAGTATTCTTGACTTATACATTCCCTAGTATTACGCATACATGATTATATACATGAATAAATAATAATCTATACAGGAATTATGTATACAATAACAATGGTTTTCTTGTTCAATTGGTGATGACAAGTGTATTTACTAACCAAGAATACCTTAGTTATTAAAACACAATTAACGTTGACCTAACTAAACCTAATCAACTCATCAGGTGACATAAGCTGTGGGTGTGTAATCTTCAAGTGATCGCCATTATAATATCAACAACACATTCGGTCAAGTATTAATTGAGTATTATAGACAATAGTTAATAATGCTCAAGGTACAACTCCACGGAGAGTCTGTGCTAAACTAGGAGTGTCACTTAATGTTTGGAGAATGGTGTATTAGTTCCTCTCCCTTCCTTCCTTCCTTCCTTACCTTCCTCTCTCTCCTTTCCTTCCCTTCCTTCCTTCCTTCCTTCCTTCCTTCCTTCCTTACCTTCCTCTCTCTCCTTTCCCTCCTTCCTCCCTCCTTCCTTCCCTCCACTACCTAACACCTCCCAAACTAAAGTTACCTAACACCTGACTTAAACCGTAGTCACAAACCTCACTTCCAACTCCCCAGCTTATCTCCAGCGGTCAAGACCATGAGGGGTGCTGTAGATAAGGCTAATCAGTAGTGGTAGTGTAGGCCTGCATGTGGCTGGGTACTGGAGATAAGCCAGGGTACATCCCACCCCCCATCCCTCCCACCTTCCCTCTATCTAGTGTCATGGGAGGGGGAGGTGCAGAGGAAAATAAACATCTATTTCAATATACGTGTTTATTCTTTATCTCCTCCCTACCCCCCTCCCTCCCCCTCCTTAGAGGATATGATTGAATGTAATTATTAGCTATTGTTAGTTTATTCTACCTTGGATTAAACTTATAGCAACTAGAGGATGTGAACGAAAATCCCCTAATGAGTTCTTGAAATTAACATCAGCTGACGTATGTTATGAAAGAAGACGTACCAAGTTATTATTTCCGAGTTACAATATCGAGAATATTTATATATAGCAATAATATTATCTAAATACAACAATAAACAACACAAAACTCATATTATAATCCGTAAATAAGAATAGTTAGAAATAGTTTACGATAGCCACACAATAGCTGGTTTTGTTTTCTTTTTGAGAGCCAAACTTGACCTCATTGTTGTACGAGTAATTAGTGTTTATTTTAACCCACACCGCTCTCTCCCCAACCTCTGTTGACCCAAGATCCCTTCACCCCTACCTCACCCCTCATCCCCTTACCACCTTATACTCACCACTAATACTCTTAATTCCCTTATATTCTCCTTACCGTTGAGTTTCTAAATATTGTTTCTAATCCTCTAATCTGCCGCCTGTATGTATATATATGTATACATAACACCACTTCTATGTATACAAGTATGAAATTTTTATCCTATGAAATTAAATCGTTCGGATACATTTTAGTTTTAACTTTTAATACTGTAATAATAATGATAGTGCTTATTTATAGCCTATAGACCTCTCTCTCTCTCTCTCTCTCATTGTTTCCTTCTTTGTGAGTGAGTCAGGGAGTGTATCACCAGAGTGGTATATTGACTTTGTACCTGTGACCACCTTAATCTTGTTTGCTCTGGAGAACTGAGAGGGATTTTGACTCTAGCCTCGTATTGTGGTCACTGTTTGCTAACTTAACTTACGGGAATATTGATGTATAAGTTATTATTAGCTTTGCTTTTGTTACTATTGGTTTGCTAGTCAGTGTTTGATTGGATTTTCTAGTTGTCAGTTCCTCAGATTAATTAAAGAGTTATATAGATTAAATAAAGTTAATGTTAAGTTAATATTTTGTTATATATGTTAAATTTTAGTTAAGAGTTTGTTTTATAATCTTTCAAAATTATTATATCATGATAATTAGGGTCTTCGATTTATTTACCTAATTATTAAGCAACATTACTCTAAATTTAGGGTTAGGTTAGGTTTAGGTTAGGTTAGGTTAGGTTAGGTTGCACTGTATGTCTTGTAATTTTTGACATAGCTCAATGTCTTAATGACGTTGATTGTTGAAGCATTGACAGACATACAATCCATCATTAACGAATGTCTTCTCTTTACTGGTGTCTGTTCTCTTCCTCTAAATGATGTCTCTTATTATTCTCCCTGCCAGCGGTCTCATTACCTTTGGGGATGGGCAGGAGGAGAGAGGGAGACAGGGAGGGAGAGGGTCAGGGAGATAGGAGGAGGGAGAGAGAGGGAGACAGTCAGGGAGGCAGGGAGGGAGGGAGGAGAGGGACATGGAGACAGGAGACGGTCAGAGAGAGAGGAGAGAGAGGGAGACAGTCAGGGAGGCAGGGAGGGAAAGGGAGGGAGAGGGGGTGACATGGACAGGAGACAGTCAGGGAGGCAGGGAGGGAAAGGGAGGAGGAGGGACAGTCAGGGAGACAATCAAGGAAGCAGACAGGGAGACAGTCAGGGAGGGTCACCAAGGGAGCCACTATAAATATCACTCCATAATGTCATGTCTGATGTTTGACAGCGTACCAACACGTGTGACTTTTTACCAGTGTGTCAAGCGGAAGTTGATGTGTTGCACAACCCATGAGTTATACAGCCTCTTATGTGCAGCCTCCCATGTACGGCCTCTCGTGTGTGGCCTCCTGTGTGTGTGGCCCGTGTGTGGCCTCTCATGTGTAGTTCCCATGTACGGCCTCTAATGTAAGGGTCTCCTGTATGTGGTTTCTTATGTACGGTCTCTCGTGTGTGGTGGCCTCCTCTGTACGGCCTCTAGTGTGTGGTGGCCTCCTCTGCTACCTCGTGTGGTGGCTCTCATGTACGGCCTCTAGTGTGTGGTGGCCTCATGTTACGGCCTCTCGTGTGTGGCCTCCTATGTACGATCTTCCATACATGACCCAAAAGAAGGCTCGTGAGACTATAGCCTCCTCCCTAGACTCTTCTCTACTCCCCCTCCGTCATACATAGCCTCTTATTCATGCCGTTCTTGATAGTTATTTAGCGTTATACATCATGTTATTCACTTACTCACCACTCACGTTCAGTACCGCTCACTCACTCACGTTCAGTACCGCTCACTCACTCCTCACCACATCCAGTAGTACCGCACACTCACTCACCACCACGTCCAGTAGTACCCACACTCACCACCACCACGTCCAGTAGTACCGCACACCACCACCACCACGTCCAGAGTACCGCACACCACCACCACCACGTCCAGTAGTCCCACACTCACCCTCACCACGTCCAGTAGTACCGCACACTCACCACCACCACGTCCAGTAGTACGCACACCACCACCACCACGTCAAGTACCGCACACTCACTCCCACCACGTCCAGTAGTACCGCACACTCACCACCACCACGTCCAGTAGTACCGCACACCACCACTCACCACGTCCAGTAGTACCGCACACTCACCACTCACCACGTCCAGTAGTACCGCACACTCACTCACTCACCAGCGTCCAGTAGTACCGCACACTCACTCACTCACCACGTCCAGTAGTACCGCACACCACTCACTCACCACGTCCAGTAGTACCGCACACTCACTCACTCACCACGTCCAGTAGTACCGCACACTCACTCACTCACCACGTCCAGTACCGCACAATACCGATCCTTTGTGTCTCAATAATGCTAAAAATGGTTACTAAATTTAACATATAAATACATAATTAAACCCGAATTAAAAAAATGAAAATAAACAACGTAAAAAAAAAAGAAAAAGGGCGCCAAGCTCTAAACCAATCATAATGCAGATGAGAGAATCCATCCACCAATCACGATCCTCATATTAACTTTTGTTTATTTTCTGTTGCCATTTATTTTCACCCTGTTGTTGGTGGTGGTGGTGATGGTGGTGCTGTTAGAGGTCGACCTCGATAGGACAGGAAGCGTCATCACCACCACCACCACCACCACCCCCCACCAGCAGATAACTAACCAACCCTTAATTGATGGACAACCTCGTTATCACATTTATACTACACGAAAATTATTTACCCTCGTTAATATAGTTTTCTAACCAGAGGCCGGAGAGAGAGAGAGAGAGAGAGAGGAGAGAGAGAGAGAGAGAGAGAGAGAGAGAGAGGTGAGGGAATTTTGTTCTTTACGTACTCTCATCATAAGCTATATTTTTCCCTGTACTCTAACCAATACCATCAGGGGGTCGTAATGTACTCTTTGTTGACATATTACCTTCACTGTACTCAACTAATTACAGTTTACGTTTCATAATAACTACAGAAACAAGATTTTTACCTCCTTGTTAGAACATATTTTTTTTAGCCTTTATTTCTTGATTAAACCCGTGTGTGTGTGTGTGTGTGTGTGTGTGTGTGTGTGTGTGTGTGTGTGTGTGTGCTGGAAAGGACACACACACACAATGTCTTCTGGAAGATGAATGTGTGGGAAGGAAGGGAGGAGAGAGAGAGAGAGGGAGGGAGGGGGAGGGAGGAGTTGGGGGAGGGTGTTTCCCATCGCACATCCGGATCCAGCCCCCTCCTTCCTCCTCCTCCCCTCTCCTCCCTCCTTCCCTCCCCCTTCTCTCTCCTCCCTCCCCTTCTCTCTCCTCTCTCTCCCCCTCCTTCCCCTCTCTATTCCTACCCCCATCACAGGTTTTACTTGAGTAAGAACAACCCCCACGACAACAA